ATCCATAATTAAAGTATTAACTGGAGGTTAATTGCTGTACTGAAGTTGTGTGGATTATTGTGATGTTTTTAGCAGCTGTTTGGACTCTCATTCTGACGGCACCCATTCACTGCAGAGCATCCATTGCTGAGCAAGTGATGCAGTGCTACATTTCTCCAAATCTGTTTCCATGAAGAAACACAACTATATAATTTTATTAATTTAATAATTTATGCATTTAGCAGACGCTTTTATCCAAAGCAACTTACAGAACAATTCAGGCTATACATTTTTTACCAGTATGTGTGTTCCCTGGGAATCGAACCCACAACCTTTTGCGCTGCTAACGCAATGCCCTGCCACTGAGCCACAGGAACTCTATATACTATAACTATATACATCTTGGATGGTCTGAGGGTGAGCACATTTTCTTTTTTGGGTGAACTATTCCTTTAAGATATGCAGGTCTACAGTAAATTGTCTGGATTTTTGTGAAACAGGAAAATTTCACGCTTGCTCTCTCATTTGACCCCTAGATGAAGTATTCAGGTGCTATTTCAAGCGAGTGCATCATGACTAAGAGAAAGAACCTGCTGAGACACTGCAAACTCCCTCTCTTTCTCTCCTGGAGAGCTGTTACTGAAACTCCCGCAGGGAGGATAGATTCAGTTCACAGGCTTTATGCTTTTACCCTGAAAAATTCACAGATTGTGCCTGCAATCAATAACTGAACACAGCTTTAACACTGAGGTTTGTGTGCAACTCAGTTTCTCACAGCAGAATCTTTTAGAAGGAAACAGTCTGGGTTTAGTTCATAAAAGCTTTAAAGTTGAACAGACTGTTGAGCAGTTAGCAATACAATCTGAGGAAACAGACTTTTAGACCTCTTTTTCAGCTACTGAGACTCTTCTGAGCACTTATCAAAGGGGCACGATTGTGAAAACATCTAAAAGTCAGGCAAATTTTGATGCACTATGAAAACATACTGTAATTTTTAGATCACAATAAAACATTTCCGCCACTTTCAGAAATCAGACAGATGAATATTCTGGTCTTTACAGAAGCAAAAAGCCTTTGCACACAAAAACATCAAATTATTATAAAAATAAATAAATAAAATGCATGATATGACCTCTTCGAAAAGAGCAAACACTCTCACTATAACAGTAGATTCTATCTAGCTAATTTCAACCCCTGAAAGTTATTCGCAATCCAGCAAATCCCAGTTTCAATTTTCTGTATTCTGTTCTGTGGGATATTTTTAGTTGCAGCTGCAGAATGAATTCAACAATCATAATCCTTAGGAACCCCCATACATGCAAAGGCTGAAACTATAGCTACAATCTTCTCTGAAAGTCCAGTGAATCTAATTCCCCGATAAAAAGAAACAATAGTTAAGGCTCACAGTTATCTGAAAGGTTAAATGGATGATGGAGGATTATGTGGCTAAGTAGAAGTAAGAGCTACTCAGGTTTAGAAGCTAAACACATTATGAAATCAGAAATATCCCTGTGCATGTTGACCGTTTCAAAGTGAATTCATTTCTGCATTCATACCAGATTTATTATAGTGTCATACTGTAGTTTCTTTTAATATTTTGAAACAAAGATTCTAGTTTTCTATTTTTCATTTTCATTTTAGTAAATATTTTAGTCATTTTGTTGTTTTTGTTATTTAAAAAATTAAATAGTTTTTTTTAAAAGGGGTCATATGATGCGATTTCAAGTGTTCCTTTCTCTTTATGGTAGGGGCGTAACATTTCCGTCACATGCTTGAGGTATTCGGCCAATCACAACGCACTGGATAGCTGGCCAATACAAAATATTTTATTTCAGCTAGTTGCCGAAGCAAAATTTATTTATTTTTTAATTGAAGTACTAAAATAAAATAAAAACACGCAGAAATGCAAATTAATAAACTACAGAGACATAAAAAAAAACCTAAAAACAAATAACAACCGCCCCCACACACACAATCACACACAAAATTACTAAAACACTTACAACTACTAAAATAAAAGTGGAAAATATCTAATAAAATCAAAGATTTATTTAAAAAAGATATTATTAAAAACTATAATAGCATATCAGTAAAAATAAAATAACCATTACTGAATATTAAACTAATACTGCATACTTTGGGAAAAAAAAGTATTAATCTTCATTCTTCATCGTTTCTTAGTCTAGCTTTCTAAAAACCTATTTTGGCTCTGTGACACGTTGTTTATGTTCCTATTCTAAATTGCTTTGGATAAAAAACATAACTGTAAACTGGAACGGGACAAAGATTCCAAGAATTTTAACTTCAAAAACATTACACACATCAACTATAAGTCTCATGCTATGAGCAACTGGTACTGGAGACCTTGTATTTCTCATGTCATTCTAGAGCAAGAACGCGTTCGCAATATATAAGCAATGTTAGTGCTGAACATTAAACAAGGTAAAGGTTGCATGAGTGGGTGGACAAGAAAACATGAAAGCAGCAGCTTGTGAGAGGGATCTGTGTAGCAGTGAAGTGTGTAGAGCAGCTGCGTCTGTCTCGTGCTGCGGTTAAGTGGAGGCAGTAAAAGGCCAGTAACGCGCCGGTGAAAGTGCACTGAACAGATACAGAACAGAACAGAATTCAGGTCAGTGTGTCAATGCCAACATCTATCTACAGCTACACCAGCTGCTGGACTACAGATCACTCCTGCGTCACAGGACCGCATGGACCCAGAGCTCACCCGCTTCATTAGGATGCTGCCCAGAGGGTTAATAACAGATGCAAGAATGCTCATTAGATTCTTGGGTTTCCTTGCAAGAAATAACAGTAGGTGGTTTCTTAGAGGTCCTATAATAAAAAAAGAGTTCATGCTCTTTGTGATATTCTTGTCTCTAGATTCAGCCTGTTTCCCTTCTTCAGTGCAAGTCTAGGGGATTTCATCCATTTTAACACTTGTCCATAACTATCCAAATTATTTCAGTAACTATTCATGTCAAAATAGCACACCGCAAAAAAATGTCTGTATTTTTGTCTTGTTTTCCAGTTCGAATATTTTAATTTACTTGAGAAGCAAGATTACTTGTTTTTTTTAAACATTTATCAAAATTATGTGATTTTTTTTTCTTAAAATATCTGCCAATGAGGTAAGAAAATTGCTTTTTCTTTGAATTAAGTTTATTTTTCTGATGCCAAATTCCTCTTCTTTTTTTTTAAGCATAAACTCACTCACTTTTAGGGTTGCAAAGGGGTGGAAAATTTCTGGTAAATTTCCGGAACCTTTCCAAAAATCCCTGGGAGATTCCAAAAAATCCTGGAAAGTTTCCAAAATTTCTGGAACGTTTCCGAAATGTACTGGAAATGTTCCAACTTTTTGCAACCCTACTCACTTTTGATTCATTTTTTAGAAAACAAGACTTAATGTCTTAAATTATTTTATATTTATATCCTATGTACAAGTACATGTACCTTGATTTAAGATTGTTTAGATATTTGTACAGGAAAAGTAATTAAAACATTTTTTTTTTTCAGTTCAATATTTAGGATTAAGTGTTTGTTAAATTCACTAACTTCAAATATACTGTAAAAAATATAGACATATTTTTTTAATTTGTAAATACAGATTATTGAAGTACGTTTTGCAAGAAAATACTATTTCAGTCTTTCTACCTAAAAAAAATTCACATTTAATTCAATGTGTTATTTGGCATTTCTTTGCAATTTTTTGTTAAATTTACTAGCAATGTTGTACCAACATGTACAATGTAACAACATTTTTAGCGCAAAACAACAAATTAAATCCTCTATGAAAACACCAAAATGTAGTATTATTGTTATTATTAAACCAGGAAGGAAAAAAAAAAACTTTTTGAGTTCTTTTTGAAATCTCTTTTACAGTCCAGGCCAAAATATGCAGCAAAAATAATGTGTGCACAAAACCAAATACAATTAAGACCAACATGGAATATTAAATAAATTAAAATAGTAGACAGAGACCAGAGACAAACTAACAAGCCATCTTGGAACTATTAATTAATTTCTTTGTTGATTAATTCTAGCCATATGTTAACAGTAGCGTCCAAAAGTCCTCTTGGTAACATTCAGAACATAATTTTCTCAATCCTGTACACCCAAATGTCACAGAATAACAACTAGACATGATCTGCGTGTGTAAAGTAAATGCATGGAATTAAGGGCTGAATGGATTGTCACGCTATGAGAGCTCAGAGTCAAGCTGGGGTCTTACACTCTGAACACCGCAATCAGCCCTCATCAGTGTTAGATCTCTGCCAAGGGAAGCATATGTTCATCCAGAGAGTGTGAGCGCCGCCGACGGGGAACAAATTCTCTGCCTGTGCCCGTCAGCTTCTGGTGGTCACCCCTGAGCCCGACAGATGATCGTAACCGGCGTGACAGTCAACTAATTGTCTTATTCAGGCCTGCAGACACTGACTACGTCTCCTGTCACCCCGCTGAGGAAGCCAAACATCAACAACAAGCTATTCTTACATATCACTGGACACTCTCAGGATACAGGTTACGCCGCTGTGTGGAGCTAATCACAGGCGATTATATATACTGACAGAACAGAGCACAAAAATTATGATTTATTACTTGGAAATGCTGTAATCTGATAAGTGGATTGACTGAAAAATCATGCAGCCTAGAATCCTTCTCTAATCTAATCATTTCTATGAAAATGCTAGTTAAAATGAATGTTCCACTTTATATGACCGGTTCAAGTTATTCTGCACCATTTCACCAACAGACTAAACTATGGCAGTAAATAAAGCAATTTACTAAATATCTTCATGGAACATGATCTTTACTTAACATCCTAAAGAAAAATAGATAATTTTGACCCATATTTTTGGCTATTGCTACAAATATACCCGTGCTACTTATGACTGATTTTGTGCTCCAGGGTCACATATGATGCATTTGCATGCAATCGCTCCGTTTATGTGTGCATGATCTCTGGAGTCAAAACAAGCACATCATGTGCATCTGATCAGTGCATGTGACGTCCAGCCTCTTACCTCCACACTTGTCCCATCTGAAGGATGTGCACGCAAGCATGCCAGATCCAAATGTAGATCATACAGCACCTGTCCCTGC